ACACACACACACACACACACAATTAAAAATCTTTCTTTTAAAAAAGACTTAATTTCTTATAAAGTAAGGACACCTGGGGCTGGAGAAACGGCTCAGTAGTTAAGAGCACTGGTTGCTCTTCCAGAGGATCCAGGTTCAATACTCAGCACCTACATGGTGGCTAACAACCATCTATAACCCCAGTTCCAGGGATCCGATGCCCTCTTCTGGCCTCCATGGGCTTTATATGACGCAGGTGCAGTTACATACATGCAGGCAAAACACAAACTGGCTCTAGAGTCTGACCCCCTAAGCAGACTGTTGGGTGTGGACCAGCCTTGACAAGTAGACCACACAGACTCTTCTAGCCAGAGGGACACAGCTGTGCCCTCCCCAGAAATCTGCCAGCCCACTTGAGCCTTGGCCCTAAGTAGTATTCTCTCTGATCTTTCTCTTTTATTCATGGATATCATATCTCCATCTACATTTGTGATTCCTTTATTCTTAGCATCATTTTAACTCTACTAGTATTTGATCACTGATTATGGTTTAGATGTTTCCCAAAAGCTCAAATTTGTAATACTTGGTCCTCAGATCATGGATTAGTTTGTAGGAGCCTTCAGGAAGTATTGGCTGAATGGGGAAAAAAATTTATCAATAGGATTAGACCTGCTCCCAGTTCCAGCCTGCATTTTCTGCTTCCTTATCTTCTATGATGTAAGGAGCATCTGCCACATACTCCCACTGGCATGGACTCAAGAAAGAGGCACACAGGAATGTCATAGAGTGAAGGTTGAATTAAGAATCATTTGATTGGTAATAACTGGTGGCCAAGAGATGCTATTGCCAGAAAGAATTACTAACCCTGAGGAGAGGTAGAGTTGGGTTTATAAAGCTTAAAAACTGCAGTTACATCATACCAGGGGTAAAGCCAATAACCACAGTTACATCAGATCCCCATAGTGACACTAGATTAGGGGCATGTCGGTTATCAAAGATGTTTTCAGATAACAAAAAGTTTCTAAGTCTTGGTTAGGAAAAACAAGTTTCTCAGAATTGCAGAAACAATGGACTCCGTGGAGATGAATGTGTAGCTGGATGGAAGAGCATTCTGCCTCACTGGTTGTAAGTTTCCCAGTATTGTAGAAACAATGAACCCTCTGAAATGCAGGTAAAGGCTTCTTGGCTGTTCTCCTGGCTGGTTACAGTTAGTGTGGGGGAGAGGAGGCTGGACAGAACAGGGTGAGCAAAAGTCAGGTAGAATATAATGGAGCCACTTTTACCATTTCACCATGATAGGCTGAAATCCCTCTGAAACCATGAACCAAAATAACTTTTTCTCCCTCACTTTGTTCTCTCAATTGTTCCATCATGCAGTTTACTTCTCTACTACTGATATAAAAACAATGACCAAAAACACCTTCAGGAGGAAATGGCTTATCATATATCTTCCAGGTCACAGTTCATCATCAAGGGAAGTCAGGGCAGGATCCAGGGTAGGAACCTGGAGTCAGGAGTTGAAACACAAACAATGGAGGAAAGCTGCTTGCTGGCTTACTCCCCTGTCCTGTGTTCAACCTGCTTTCTTATACAACTCAGAGCCACCTACCCAATGGTAGCACCACTCACAGAGGGCTGGGTCCTCTCAAATCACTTAATATTCAAGAAAATGCTCCACAGACATGGCCACAGGCCAATCCAGTGGAAGAAATTCCTCAGCTGAGATTCTCTCTACCCAAGCATGTCAAGCTGACAAATGAAGCTATTCAGTTCAGCAATACAAAAGGAAGGAATACATTGGCTTGAAGAGATGGTTCAGTGGTTATGAGTATTAACTACTCTTGCAGGGGATCTGAATTTGATTCTCCATACCCATGTCAGGCAGTTCACACTATCTGTAAACTCCAGCTCCATGGGGATCCTACACCTCTGGCCTCTGCCAGATCTAACACTCATGTTCATACACCCGCATGAGATATACACAGATATGCACAGTTAAAATAGATCTTTTCTAGGGGAAGCAATATATAAAATTGGTACCACAGAGGAGGATCATTGCTGTAATTACACCTGACCACCGGTTCTTAAACATTGAAACTGGTTTGTAGGATAAATTTGGAAGTGTTTGGTGATGCAAGTTAGAGGAACCATATAGTGCTGCAAGCATAATTTAATGGAAAATTCTGCTGGAAACTCAGATCAGAATGTCACTAGAAATATGGACAGTGCATAATGAGGCCATGTAATTTCAGAACAGGACTTTATTTTGAACTGGATCAGAGGACACTTATGTTAAATTCCTGCAAAGGATCAGAATCTGGCTATATTTTCCCTGTGTCCTAAAAATCTGAGTGAGACAGAATTCAAAAGTAATGCTCTGTTTATTTAGCAGAGCATATAGCAAGATGGTGTAACAGTCAGGCTGAGGTATGGTTATCGCTTACTGTTTTTAGTCAGATTTGCAGTGAAGTTTAAGAGCAAAATAGTAGAAAGACTTGAAAAGCATGTGGTTTGGCCAGGAAAAGTGTTTGTTGCAGACAAAGCAAATGTTGACCAAGAAACTGTGATTGTTAGATGGACTGGTACCATTAAAGAGAAGCCACACACTTTGCACTGGGACAACAGAAACGATGCATTGATACCAAGTTGGTTTTGGTCAGTGTTTTTAATCCAAATAATAGATCTATTAAAGGATCTAAGGTATAAATACACATTTGAAAGGCTATCTTTTAAAAAGTATCATATAACTAGGCTTCCTGCTGGGTACAATGGGTAAAAGGTTCCTGGTTCAGTTGCCCAGCCACTTCCATGCTGCCAAGTTATGATCCCAGAAGGCCCAGCTACTTCCTGAGTTGGCAGTAGAACTCAGCATCATCCACATGGTGCTGGGTTTATAGTCATGAAGAATGCAAGAGTTATGTGACAATGGAGGCTTATACCACATCAGCATAGAAAAGCCTCTGAGACCAGACACTATGCAGCAGGGTAGGATTCTCTGTAAAGAACTCCTGAATGGACTCTGTGTGATGCTTCATGGGTAAAGTCTAAGTTGCAGTGAATATCCCAGAATACTGAAGATATCAGGAACTTTGGGCATCTGCCAAAGAAAAATGCCAACACAGAGTGTAGCCTCCTCAAGAGAGAGGCCAGGTGTGCTGCAAATTCAGGACTGTAGAAGCAGGGCTGTGCAAGCTGCCTAACTTCACATAAGGACACCAAGTGCCCCGGACGCCAAACATGGAGGTACAGCATTCTGTATTGACCCTTGTAGGGTTTTGGTTTTGTTTTGGTCCATTATACCCTAACTATCCTCCTGTTCCAAACTTATTGAGTTATTCATTGAATATTGAAGGATATTAACACTTTTTATTTTACAGTGGGTCACATCTAAGACACTGCCTTGAATCTCAGCAGAGACCTTGGATTTGGAGACTTTTGAATGCTCGTGGGACTATTAAGACTTTGGGGACTCGTAAAGTTACACTAAATGCATTTTGCATTGTGTGATGGACATGAGATTTTGGTATTCAGAAGCAGAATGTCATGGTTTAATTGTGGAATGTCTCCCCAACAAAGGCTCATGATTTGAATGCTTGTTCCCCAGCCTGTAGCCCTATCCTAAGGGCTATAGAGGCTCTAGGAGGAACAAGCTAGTGGATAGAAGCAGGTCACTAGGAAAAAAGCAGACATTTGAAGAGGGTCACATGGGAAGATACTGAGTGTCAATGTAGAAGCTGAGGGTGGGTGGCTTCTGGTCAACAGCAAACAAGAAATTCATGTCATCATTATGGAACTGAAGGGATGGCATTCTGCCTTACAACAAGGGAGCATGGGTGGACATCCCTCTCAGTCAAAGCTCAGAAGGGATGAAAGCCCAACTTCTTCATAGCAGTCCTGTGGTACCATAAGCCAAGAACTCAGCCAAGCCAAGTCCAAACCACTGACCTACAGGCCCATGACATAATTAGTATGTATTGCACTAAACTATCATGTTTATAGTGCCACTGTTACACAGAGAAATGTGATACCACCTCCCATCAAACTGCAGACATATAACCCAAGATCCCAACCCAATTGTCTGTGACAAATCTATCCCTCCTCACAAGGATCCAGCACACCAACAGAACCCCATTTCTTCATCATTTGCAGGTAAGGCAACTGCTCCCAGAGAAGCTAAGGCTGTGTAATAGAGTGTTGGCTTCAACGCTTCTATGATCTGGGTATCAGTGGGGCTTGCAGAAACTGGAGGTGCAATAGCAAACATTGAACCTTCAAAAATAACCTCTGTGAGCAGGAAATGTAGTCCAAGGAAGGAGCGTTAGCCTAGCATGCACATGGCCCTGGGTTCAATCCCCAGTACTACAAAGAAAGACTACTGTGGTCCTCCCAGCATTCTGTTTCCGTGTCCTATGAGCAGAGAGAATGACGTTGGTTAGGCAAGGTTAAGGACCTTCCTAACACTAAGAATAGTATATAAGCCCAGCATGTTACTCACTTAGGGAGCATACCTTCCATATACCAGGTGGCCTCCAGAGCTCCCAGCGTAGCTGTGGCTCTGAGAACATGTTTCCTGATAGAGAGGGAATTGATAGGCTTAGGAATTGTAATTAAAAGATTGATCCCAGGGGAAAAGTTCATGACACCCCAAAGTTCACCTGTTCTTTTCATTCCTCCCAAATGCTTCTTCTCCTAAATCTGTTTCTTGAAAACTCCCACTAAAGTCATCCCATAGTTCCACCTGAGTGTGGCTAGATTGGGAGAGTTTCATTAAAAATCATTTCTCAGGACAGATGGAAGCCATATCAGTGGACCTGTGACCAGGGACCTTGATCTCAGGGGCAAAAATGTCACTGTTTCTACAGATGCTCTGTCATCATGGGGATGGATAGATTCACCAGTGACAGTGTGATCACATGGTGGCATTTCCTCTACACAGAGCTCCTGGGTAAAAATTCAAGACATTCTTTTTCTCACTTTAACATTTATTTTACCTGGATATGACAGTGGAGAATGTGGCTGCATGTAACACAAAACATTGTTGGTATAGGAAGGAAACACAAACACAGATGGATTTTCTCGAACAAAAAGCCGTTTTTTGCTTCCACAACCTCATTCCTTTCCAGATTGTGGGTAGCTTCAGCATCTCCTTTCCCAGTAAAATAGAACTCAGCAAAGCTCCCAGGCACAGCATAGGCCCTCCTTGCTTCACCCAAATAAAAGCACAAGTTTACTGTCAGATGCCCTTTATATAGCTCACTACAGCACTTACAGCTTTCAGAGAGCAGGGGAAAGAGAAAAGCTTCTGACCAAATAACATTACACATCCATGAAAGCCGTCCTCCACGTGGTACCAGCTCACAGGGACTCCCTGGTCTTCCAAGCGCTTCTTGTACAGCAAGACATCATCCCGGAGGACGTCATACTCACAACTCACCAGGAATGCCTTGGGAAGCTGAGCGATGGTCTTATCATCTGCTAGAAGAGGTGAAATTTCTTCATTCCAAACATGATTGGTTTCCAGATAGGCAGCCTCATTAAAAGGTCCAGGAAACTCAGACTGTGGATCTTGGCTCTGGAACATTTTGGGGATGTTGTCAGAGCTGAGCCATTTCCTGTACTTTGTCCAGTTTTCTGGGGGCACACAAGTTCCTTTCAATATAGCATCTTCCCAGGAGGGGTCAATAGCCAAATATTTGTACATACACAGCAACACAATGTCTCTAGTGAGGAGAGGGATATTTTTCTTCTGCTGGTATGAAGGTAATTGGAAATTGATGAAATGCACGATTGGACAAATCAGGACTTGAGCCTGGATCTGGGGCAGATTGGGTATGCTGACTAAGGCCTGGGTGACAACAGCCACAGCCCAACCTCCAATGCTTTCTCCACAGGCCACCACCCGGGAGGGGTCCACCCCATAGGTTTGCAAATCCTTCAGGAAGTGGATGGAGGCATTCAAACAATCCCTGAGAAAGACAGGGTGATGATAGTCCGGAAGCATGCGGTACCTAAGGAGGAAAGAGCAAACACAGGGCACTTGTGCACACATGGGTCACAGGTTGCCATTTGAACAGCATCCTCCACTCACAGAGGAGAAAGAACCTGCTTAGATTAGAATGATTAGAACCTTAGCAAGTAGAGATGGCTATCCCCCTTTTTCCTGTGTGAATTTAAATCTTCCCAGAGTCGGGGAGGCCAGGAGTCTCCAGTCCAACCCATGCTATGCTTTCCATAGATGAGCAAACTCTACACAGGATTGAGCAAGTTCAAAGCTATTGCCTTTAGAAAAAGCAGGACCAGCCAAAAGCATTGGAAGTACTGCTGGTCCCCCTGAGGCAGATTAGTGGGACTCATTAGTGGTACTCTCTGGGGTACTGAGCATGCAGTAAGTGTTAAGGTTCAGATAGCCCCACCCCCTCACCAACAGGGCCTCATGGACCTCACAAGCCCCTGAGAAAAGGGAACCAAGTTAATAAGCACCCAGGTCTTTGAAGTCAAGAGAAGAAGACTTTTCTCCACTGTTTGATCTCTAAAGAGGGCAGGTTTTAACAGTCCTGCTCTCCCGCTTCCCCCTGCCCAACTTTAAAATATATATTCCCACCTTCTGCAAGAAGCAGAAGTCTCCCCCTACAAAAAGACCCCAGCTCAAGATCCAGGGCAGACACTTCTTTGATCTCTAAAGAGGGCAGGTTTTAACAGTCCTGCTCTCCCGCTTCCCCCTGCCCAACTTTAAAATATATATTCCCACCTTCTGCAAGAAGCAGAAGTCTCCCCCTACAAAAAGACCACAGCTCAAGATCCAGGGCAGACACTTCCCCTGCCCGGAAGGGAATCTGTCCCATGTGTTCCTTTGTTAATAAACTCTATTCCAATGGAGTTTTACCTGTGTCCTGGTGCTTTCTCCCGATCAACCGGATTCATCCATAGGTTACTTTATCTATCAGATGGTGCCAAAACTCAGTTCTTACTTCAAGGGACCTGTACAAGCCCTCTGACTGGACTTCACTGCCACTCATTTGGCTTTCAGGTATATCCCACCCTTCCTTTCTCTCTCCTTCTCTCCCAGGTCTCTGTTTTCCATTCACTTCTTTCTAGCTCTCCTCACTGGGGAACACACTCTGGCCTACATCTTCTTTTGATCTCCTTTCCCATTTAATTCTGTCACTCCCAGACAGCGCTGGCCTCTGGGAGGGAGCTGCTTCATCGGTTCACTACCTCGGTCCCCTCACCCCATCAACTCACCCCACCCACCCCACCCTTCGCCCCCAGCATCTCGCCCCCTCCCCCCTCCGTTGCCATGGGCCTGCAAGGTCTGCTGTCCTCCATCCTTTTTTCCTGTCTTTGTCCTCTTCCACTGCCTTTCTTCCTCACTTTATTCAGGATGATTTCTGATACGTTCAATCCAATTTTAGGTCTCCTCTCCTTTGCTTCCATCCTTTAGGTTATCTTTCCTCTTTCCTCTAACTACTTATGGATTCCCTACACATGGATCCTTCTCCTCCCTCTCCCTCTCCCATACTAAAGCTTTCTATTCCCTGCCACGTGCCTGCCAGCCTGCCACATGTCTGACCTCCCATACAGGCTCTAAACCTGCATGACCCCAAGGCTTTTTTTTCCTTCCCGCTGCTATTCACCCCCTCCAGGAAGCTGCCGAGATTGTCAGCTCACCTGCCCTGGGGATTTTTTCTTTAACATTCTAATAAAATGATAAAAGTTTCCGGCTGGGCCCATTCTTAAATTCTCTTATAAATGTGGCTAAGAATCCTTTAGGGGACCCTTTCTCCCCATTTTGACCCAACTAGCCTAAACTGGCTGGGAAACTTTGCTGGAGCATTTAAAGAATTTCAGGCAGCTTGCCCTATGGACAAACGGAAAATGTTTTAAAAGTGTTTTTTTCTCCTAAACTTTTTCTCGGGCAAAGGGGTTCAAAACTTTGATCTTAGGCCCTCTTGGGCATCAAACAAACAGTGCTCAGGTGTCTACTTTTCTAACTAAACCTAACCATCTTAAATTTCACTATACACGAAAAGTTACAGGCATTGCTAGGGCAAGTCATATGCTTTCAGACCAACAACCACTGATTTGTATGCCCTGTTCCTTCTGCTGCCCTCCTGAGTTTCCTTTCCAGCATAGCTTGTGTCTAGAAATTAAGAGATCCTGAGAACTTTGCTTCACATTCACAGCTACAATGGTTGGTGAGAAACATGGATTTCTTTGATTTGCTTTTCTATTTGGGATATATATATATATAGATGATAGGTACTTTCTCCTTTTATAACAAGTCTAACCTAATTGGGGTGCTTTGTAAAAGTAAAAATAGTTGCTGTCCACATTTAATCTGTGAGGCATATGAATCCCACAGGGCTTGTATCCTGGTAGGGGATGGGCTTGTTTTATTATGGGACTGTGTTCACTAACATGGCCATGTGGCCTGGTTGCCATCATGGCTGCTGACCTCACCAAGAAGGAGGCAAACCTGTGACCTGGTCTCCATCTTGGTTGATTACAACATCAATATGGGGACAATAACATGGCTTGGTTGCCGACCAGGCTGGCCTTGAACTCACAGAGATCTGCCTGCCTCTGCCTCCTGAGTGCTGGGATTAAAGGTGTGCGTCACCACACCCATCAATGGATTTTTTAAAAGAAATTATTTTTTTGTTTTGACATTGTTTGCATGACATCTTTATCTGGTAATATTAAAGAAATTATTTTGGATTTTAACATCTTTTATATGGTATTTGCTAATTTCTAAAAATGATTATTTTAAATTCTTACTGTTTTACATAGTATATTTGTTATTTTCTAAAGGGAAAATAACAAATTGCCATTTGCCTTCAAGGTGCAAAGGGAGCTGACACTTTTGATGACTAGACCTGTGAAGCACATGGAAATTTGCTGTACTCCAGGGTCAAACCATTACAAGAGACAAGCTACTACCAACACATAGTTACAATGATGAGAGGTAAAAAATAATGGTCTACATTAGTAAGAGGCTTGAGATGCCATCTCTGCTGGTTTTAACTCCTCCCATTTCTACATTGTGATTCTAAGCCTATTTTTCTCTGGAATAGAGTTATTGCCCTCTCTGACCCTCAGATGCTCTATGCTTGCTTGTGTTCCTGCCTATTCATTCCCTGAGTGCTTTCTAATTATAATGTCAGGGTAATATTAATTATATCTATAAACTGTCACATGCCATTTGAGCTCACTAAGATGCTGACTCTGGAGATGGAATTGACCCTCCCACTTCAGACTCAAGCCTATTATCTCAAGATGTGTTCGCCAAGACTTTTCCAGGTACAGGCTGGTCCCCTGATTCTGTGACAAGGAGGAGAACAACAAAACAGCCTGATAGTAAAGACACTGTGCAGTTGAGAACAGCTAAGGTGTAAATTAATTTCAACAGAGGGTATTACTGTCTATAGTGAAACTAACTAATGGGATTATTTTCAGTACTATTTACATTTTATTTATTCTTAACCTAGTCTGTTAATGTTTCCTTTTGTCTTTCCTGTCTCCTCAGATTCATACAAGTTTTTATTAACTTCCTTCAGTTATTTAGATCTTAAAAGAAAAGATGCTACCTCAAATCTATATGGAAACTTAACTCTTTCTTTAGACCACTAATTACCTATAGAAAACAAAATCTAACCTGGTTGGGTAAAATCCTATTTGTTAAATACCATTTTTGTTTTTAGTTTACTTTCACAGTGTTTTAAGATGTATTCATTTTGTTTGTCTACTTCAAAGGTGTTTTAGTTTATAAACCAACCACATTCTCAACAAAGACTATATAACTAAATATGTATATACAGTCAACATAAATTTATGTTTCTTAAAATTAATTTACTTGGTATCATATTAATTTTTTAAATAAAATCTCATACGACTAAAAATGTTAAATTAACATCAAAAATTTTTTTTAGGCTAAAATATTCTCTCTTTAATCTACAACATGGTTCCTAGTACTAAAGTATATAAATTAAT